CAAACAACCGCCGCCTCCTCCAACTTATCCAACGATGGCGGGGAGAGCCCTGCGTATCGTTAGAAATCGAGAAAAAAACGCGAGTTGTTTCCGCTCGAAACAAGGCAAACTTTCGTCGCTACTTGCTCCTCCGCGTCGTCTCCCCGACGCTTCCCTATCCGTACCCTATCCGTTTGTTTAAAGAGAGTTTTCGACGACCGCCCCTTCCTCTCCGCTCTTCTTTCGGACCAAGTCGATAATCTGATTTATTTACGTTTGAGTAACGAGCTCGTGGCTGCCCGATCGATATCGTTTGAGCGGCCGCGTATGTGGCACGTTGATGATGCGCGTATAATCGTTTCTGTAACGGATCCCGCGCAAATGCGGCGACGAGCGCTTAGTAATTAATACAAGGGAGCGAGGGAATTATTCATAATATTTGTGGAATCCGTTGTCCCTTTCTCTCTCTCTCTCTCTTTGTATCTGTCTCTCTGTCAGCTTTAATTTCGTTTCATCGCGTCCGTGTCTCGTAAAACGATGGTTTACCAACTATCAGGTTCTGATGATTGGATATATGTATTAGATTGAAAGACCGGATGTATGATTTTCACGTATATGTTCGATGCGCTCGACTACGTGACCGAGTTTACCTTTGACCCGAATCTTTTAGACAATCTTCCCTTGTATATTAAAGGCGTCCCGTTTAAATGGATCCACTCGAATATCTTCGAATTATTGACGATAACTAAGAAATTTTCGTTTCAAGGTATTAGTCGAAAGTTAACTATTATGTGGGGAGAGGGGATGTTTAAAGATCGAAGATTTTTAAAATAGGTTCGTGTATTTTATTTTGTATTTTATGATTCGTAAAATTTATGAAAGACAAGGAGAAAAGTAGATTATTGCTTTTTTATAATAAATTCTATTTAACAATTATATTTAACGTTTGTTTAAAACATTTTTTTAGAATCATCAATAGTTTCGAGGATATTCTAATGGGTTTAAATGGGATGTACATATGTACAGAAATAAATGGATATAGGATGATTATGGAAAAATAAGTCAAAAATACAGAATAAAATTTTCTCATTTGTAGCTTCGTTTTCAATTACAAATGAAACTGGCCAATTAGATACGAATGAAACTATCGACAAAAGGTTATTCTATACACGCGAAAATAAGCAAAAAGTGTAGAATTAATTTTACTCCGTTTCAAAATTAATTTCAGAAAATACGAATTCCTTCCTTCTGTACGTTTAATCTCGATTTTTCTAAAAAAAAAAAAAAAAAAAAAAAG